GAATGGAGGATCAGCTACATGAATGGAGGATCATATCCACTATGTGTCCTTTTTGCTCAAGTCTGTTGCGGCAGTGTGTACAATTATTGCTCAAACTCTGCCGCAGACGCAGCATAGCAACCACACTTGTTCAGCGATGTCATTGGCTTGTTCCGAAGATCGGACTGACAATGCGTCCGTTGCGTCCGTTTCTATCATTGGAGGGGGCATTGCTGGCCTCGCATGCGCGAGCTCTCTTGTGGAATTCGGTATGGATGTGCGTCTCTTCGCCACGGGACAGCGTGGCGTTGGCGGGCTGCTCGCAACGCGGCACTTCTTCGCGGGAGAGTCCGACGCAGCGATTCCTTGCGACACAGCTTGCCAGCTCTTCAGTGCTAGCCACCCGCGGTTCCGTGAGTTGTGCGCGCTCTGGGAGGAGCGCGGATGGGTACGACGTTGGCCAGGCCGCGCCGTGTTTCTTCGCCCTGACGGCAGTTGCAGAGATACACAGAACAGCCGGGAGGTTTTCGTGGCTGATGGCGGCATGGAGTACTTAGCACGACAGTTGGCCGTTGGCATTTCTTCTGCAGGTGCTTCCGTGAGAACACAGATGTGGGCGACAGCTGCTGAGCGCACTCGGGATGGTCGTTGGGACGTTCGCTGGGACCACTGGAGCATGGGTGTCAGCGACTACCTCGTGGTGGCTCACAGTGGCAAGTGTGCAAAGCGCATCACTAGCAGTCCTGGCCTTGAGCGTTGTCACGCTGCGCTGAAGGGTGTTCAGCTTGGTGTCATGTGGTGCGTGTGCTTTGTATTTGCGGACAGGCTGGGTCTCCCGTTTGAGATTGGAATCGTGGAGCATGGACGCGTGTTATCATGGGTCGGGAACCAGACCGAGAAGTTGCGCGCGGGTAGTGGCTCCCCTTCGACCAGCGAGTGTTGGGCCCTTCTCAGCAGCAACGAGTACGGCTGGAAGAATAAAGTGCCCCAGGAATTTGTCCCTGCAGGGAAGGCGGAGTCTGTGGCCGCAGATATGCTGGCGGCGTTCGCCTCGCTCGCGAAGGCTCAGGGCTGCGAGCTGCCACCAGTGCAGCGGCAGTATGTGCAGCTCTGGGGTGCAGGGCCTCCCTCGAACACATTGCAGGAAGCCGACGCTGTCTTCGACCCGATCACACGAGCGGGCGTTTGTGCAGACTGGTGCGTGTCGCCGTGCGTCGAGGGCGCGGTACTCTCTGGCCTCATCCTGGCTGATCTCATTTGGGCGCACCATGCGCGGGCCCCCGGAGCCGCACGCGCGCACCATCCGCCAGGGCAGCCTCGTTTCGAACCCTCGCGCAGGGCCAGCGCCATTGCTGCCTTTCCAGGCTGGCTCGACCCATCGACGAGTTCTTCTTCAACGGTGGCTGCTGCCAGGCGTCCAGTGCTACTTCCGGGCAAGGCCACGATCGGTGAGTCTTGCAGCAGTGCTGGCTCGCGTGCCTCACGTTGGCGACGCGCGGCTCACACGACTGCGCCTCTCGAGGTCAGCCCAGCGCAGATTCCAGAGCGACAGCAGCGGCGTTGGGCCAGAGCGTGCGGTGTGCGCAACGACCCCGCGCTAGCAAGTGATAAAACGGAGAGGCCAAGTACGGGGCCATGTTTGGATAAATGTTTGCAGATGGCCGTCACAGTCGACGAGCTGCAACCGGGCATGCTCTTGCTCCGGGGCCTCCTTACTGAGTCGGCGCAGCAGTGGGTGGCCGATGCGGCGTTGGAGGCGGGCGGTGCTGGCAAAGGACCGCGGCCACGGAGCACTGGCTTCTACCGGGCAGCTCGAGGTGGTGGTCTGGAGCTCAACGCTGCGCAGGAGGGGCGGGGCTCTTTTGTTAGGCACTTGTCCGCATGCGACCCATTGTTTTCGGAGATCTGCCTACGATGCTTCGCCGCAGCAGCAGCGGTGGCTTCTCCAGGGACGCTGCCAGAGCTTGACGCCCAGGCTTGTGCTTTCAACTTTTATGAGGAGGGATCGCGAGGTATCCCTTGGCATCGTGATATTGACGAGACAAATGAAGGACTTCGTAATGGCACTGGCAGGCCAGTTGTGTCCATCAGCCTCGGCGACGACGGAGATTTTCAGTACCGAGCTCAGCGATTCGATGACCCAGTGCAATCGTTGCGGCTCAGGTCTGGCGATGTCCTCGTCTTTGGTGGCCCTTCCCGTGGTATACCACATGCCATGACAAGGGTCTTTCCAGGAACACGCGCTGGCACCTTGCGCATGGTGCCTGGCCGCCTGAACCTGACTTTCCGACATCACGTCTAGTCGGGAGAGGTATGTTGTCGCGGAAAAAAGGTGGTGGAGAGCACGCGTGGCAAATTGTCCAGCAACGGTTTGCCTTCCGCTGTGTTCGACGTGCAGCAGCGGTTGCCAAAGGAGGCTCAGGTCGAGACCGATTCGCGAGTATCAGCTCGTGCTTACACCATGTGCCCGCGTGCGGGCCCCTGGGCCCCGGGGCAACAGCTGCCCCCCGAACACCAGACCTGGCTCCCCCTCCCCCGGTACGCAGCCCTATTTGGCCCCACCGGGGTGCCGGGGCCAGGGCCGCCCTCGGGGGGCCCAAGACCGTCCTCTCAAGGACGGTCCGGCAGCCGTGGAGGCGGTGCTCAGGCAGCCCACGGAGCGCCTCGAGCGGCCCGAGAGGCCCCCGAGGGCGCTCCAAGAGTCAGCGAGCGAAGAACGGTATAACATAAACTTTTTCGCTGTCGGGGGCGCCTGTCCCTGGGCGGCTGGAAAGTTTATACCCCTACGGTGCCACCGCAAGGGTATAAACTTTCCAGCCGCCCTGGGACAGGCGCCCCCGACAGCGAAAAAGTTTATTCCTTCGCCCGTTAAAAGAGGGCCCCGCCATGGCCCCCAAGAGGGCCCCGAGCGGCAATCCTCGCCCCCTTCTCGCCCTTCGTCCCTCCAGTTGGTTTCCGGGGGCATACGTCGAGCCTCCGGCGGCCGTTCGGGACGACTACACGCCGGTCGTTGAAAGTAGGTATTTCTGGATTCCCATATCCCAGTCTACTTCAAGCGCCTTCCTACTTCAAGAATCGGCTTGCTGTTGCTCTCTTTTGTTATTCTCTGGGAGCGCCTGGACCCAATCCACTTTATCCGCCTTCCTACTTCATGGTTTTACCTACTTCTTCCGACCGACGTGTAATCAGAGCCAGGAGGAGGGGGAGATTCGAGCCGGGGGAAGGGGGGAGGACAGGGGGGGGCCCAGGACTGCTCCACCTGCGCTTCATCATAGCGCCATGAACTGCGCTAAAATCGAAGCGCGCGCGAAGCACGCGCCTGATTCGAGTGCTGGTGATGCGATGCAGCCGAGTTCAGCCAAGCACTCCACGTCACGCCAGCTCGTTTGGACCCGTCTTCACTGTCATTCTAGTCATCATTGCGATCATTTGCGCTGCATGTTTGATCGCGACGGCGGGTGACGACGAGCTGCGAGCTCGAACCTTGGGCAGAGTGGGTGCGCAGAGCAACCAAGAAGGCGGAGGGTGTTCTCACTAATCGACGCATTGGTAATTGGGTATCGAGTCGAAGACATAGAACGTGGAAGTGGGCGCGAAAAGTTTCTACATTCGCTGAAGCAGATTGCTGGTTACCGGCATTGTTGTAGAATCCAGGGACAGACCCCCAATGCGACGCCCGGAGGCGACAGGGCCGCCCCAGAAAACGCCGATTCGACGATCTGCGGCATACCGATCAAGATTGAACTGATGTTGCCAAGACAGACCTTTCGGCAATAGATAACTGCATGAGCAATCTCAAAGCGCTGTTTGGTTTTCGCGCTCGCGTTCCTCTGTCGTCTCTCCTATCGTTCGTCCCTCTCCCTCTCCCTCGGCCTCGCCTCCCGTCCTCGCTCGTCGGGCGTCCCTCTCCCCCTTCGCGCGTCCTTTCCTTCCCCCTGCGGGACCGAGCATTGATGCCACCACCCACCGGCGAAGAGACCGCCGAATCCGGGAGACTGATCTTTTATAGCGCCGCTCTTGTCTCACACGATGGCGCCACGGCTCCCGCCTGTAGCGCCCCTGTCGCCTCACAATTTCACGTCCGAGTCCGAGTCCGAGTCTGATCGTCGCCGATGTCCAGACCGAGTCATCTTGTGCGCAGCGCCGAAAGCTCCCACATCGGTCTTCACAAGTGAGCTTGACTCACACGTTTTGCCCTTTTCATTCCGAGCGCACCGATGTCACCATTCAGTGGCTTCATCATGAGCAGCATCACTCAACATTGTCGTCGCCATCGCTGCTACAGACGTCGGCGGCATGTTGCCTCAAGCAGTACTTCAAGGTCAAGCCCAATACTGAGTGAACGCTTTCGGTTTTGGATCGCAATGGCGATGGAGGACTTGGGGTTGTTCACCATTCAATGGATTCGATGGTGCATGTTGGTGCCTGCGCGCGGCATCGATCGATTCGTCCACGCTCCCCCAAAGGCGACTGGGCGTCTCGGCCGATTCGATTAGATTGCGCAAGCGTTTTGATATATGTTCGATTCACGGCAGCACTTTGACACACATGGGAGGACCACCAGCCGATCGGTGATCTCGCGGTGCCGCCGGTGTCGCCCACCGCAGGATCAGCCAGCATCAGCGAGCGCGTAACAGGCACCGCAGACGCAGGTACTGCAGATCAGTGATAGACCAAGACGCTGTTCAGGGCAACACTGTCTTGTTTGATATGTGGTCTCGTTCTGTTTTCGTCCCGAGCACAATCTGGGACCGATCGCGACTCCAGAGGTATATACTGAAACGCTGCTGCCTGGGGTCTGCCATATGTTGCTCTCGCTGCGAGCGGCGGTGCAGCGAACGCGTACAGCACCGTGTCGGTGGACCCCTGCTGCAGATCAGGGTCCTGGCCATCCGATCGCAAGCTCGATGGGTGAGGGCAGACCACCCGTCCCGAAACGTCTGTCATACGGTACCCGCGTTCCCAGACCTCCCGTGCCGTGCTGTTCCCACCGCGGGGGCCCCCGGATCCCTTGACCCGATCCCCAGGACTGGCTCCTCCCCGCGGATTGTCGCTTGACGCTCCAGGGGCCTCGACCCCGGGATGCACGGTGTCGGGTGGACCCCAAACGGGGGTCCGGCGACAAGGGGGTGGTGCAATGGATCTGGTGCAAGAAGTTTGCGCGGTTGCCATACATCCGGGGCGTGCCACACATTCCGGGGCGCACATGTGTATTGCTGGATTTTCGCATGCTTTACGTTACTTGCAATACAACGCAATACAATTCTCCGGCGCAATACATGTGCAAAACGCTTGCAAGACACTTGCCCCAAACCTATTGCACCACCCCCTTTCAGCTGGACCCCATTTTGGGTCGCCTGAAAGTGCGCGCGGGGGGGGGGTATTGCCCTTGCACGGTTTTTGGGTGCGACTCTTGGAGGTCCGGGTCGGCCCGACCAGAGTTGGTAGGGGGCCGCATGCGAACCCTACCCCTACCTTCCACGATTTTTGAGGGGGAGGGTGGGGTTCACTTCGCATCCCTCCCCCTCAAAAATCGTGGGGGGTAGGGGTAGGGTTCGCATGTGGCCCCCGAGTTGGCCAGACGTAATCCCTGGACCCTTCCTGGGAACCGTCCCGATCAGTTTGGGGAGCCACGCCCGGCCGTGGCCACCGGGGCCTCCCAGGCAGGCACGGAGATGCAGCACGTGCACACACGGAAGCCTGGATCCTCGATCCCCGAACCTCCAGGGTTCTCTCGTTATTCTCCGAGGTTGGAAATGATGTGCATGTTCCGCCAAGTGTCCTGGAGCACGGTTTTTCCAGCGTGTGGATCTGTATCCAGTTGGCCTTCAGGCGATCCCTTTCACCATGCCTGTGTCATGGACTCTCGGAGGCCTCTCGGAAGTCTCATGGGGGGCTCTCTTGCAGGTCTTTCGGGGCTTCTTGGGAATCTCTGGGGCCCTTCGGAGGTCTCTTGGCCTCTCGGCGGCCTGATGTTGGCCTCCTTGACCGTCCCAAAGGGCTTCTAAGACGGGCCGGGAGGCCCCCAAGAGAGCCCCAGGATGGCACCTTGGGGCCTTCGCAGAGCATGTTGGGGGTTGAGACCCGTGGCCGCGCTGCCGGGGCATGGGGAAAGTCATGCGGGAAGCCTCAAGAGCGCCCAGGAGCTCCAGGGAGCGCCCAGAACTCGAGGGTGTGGGCCCCTTGCGGAGCACAGAACATGCTAAGCACAGCGAATTCGGATGGGCCCGAGGGCACTTGGTACCTTGCGGAACCGTGGAGGATCAGTTCTAGCCTCGGAAAAGCCAGAGCGCGTTGCTCTTTGGACATTGGTGAGGCGCGCAAAGATTGGCCCCTTCGGCAAAACGCATAAACGGAACAGAAACGGTCAAATAAGGCATCTCGGGCCATTTTGGTGGCACCCGGGCGAAATGGTTACCACTTTTCAGAGCCGTCATGGGTGGCGATCCTTGATGGCCAAAACGGGTCCTTCAACACATGTATGGTGATAAAACTCAATCGCCGAACAAACAAAATCCACGAACGAACATGCAACGAACGGCACAACAAATAGTGGCACAACATTGTTTGTGCGGTGATTCCGTTTTCAAAACGCACTGAGGCCTGCGCCAACGCAGCGTGCAACAAACAGTGTCCATGACGGCGGCGAATTCTGCTCGGAATGGCCGTTTGTCTTTAGTCGTCGTGTGTTTCTGCTTCAGGGGATTCCATTTGTAAGGGCCTCTTCGGGAGCACCGACGGAACCAAAAGTGCACTCCTATCACGGAAGGAATCGTGCAAAGTCTGGCTTTGACTCGGTCCTGCATGCGCGCCCGCTCGCAGAAGCCACCGGGTGCAGCCCCGCGTGCTGGGCCGGGCCACCGCTGGGAAGCTGCTGAGGATTCCTATACAGGGCGGCGGCCGCAAGGAGAAGGGATACGAGCGCATGCAGACCGACACCGGCGGAGGCGGCGGTGAGGCGATCTCGCTTCTTCTCCTCCTCCTCCTCCTCCTGCTCCTCCTCCTCCTCCTCCTCGTCCTCTTTTTCCTCATACACCCTCATCATCATCCTCTTCCTCGTTCGTCCTCTCGGAAAACTGGATACTCCGTGAGTTCGGGACGCTTCTGACCTCGAGGACCGAGGAGGAGTAGGATCGATGATGAGGATGATAATGGGGAGGAAGAGGAGGAGGAGGAGGAGGAGGAGGAGGAGGAGGAGGAGGAGGAGGGTCGGGGATTCAGGAACAAGGATCGACGGTCCAAAGGAAGGAGGATCGAGGATCGAGGCTGGACAAACGTCAAGGTCAGATGTTTTTCCAGAACCAGCCGCAGTGTTTCTTCAACGCTGGCATGTTTTCTTCGGCTTCGTATATCTTTGGACACGTTTAGGGCAGGGGGGGCCGATAGCAGACGACCAGGGCTGACAAAACCAGCCCCTTTGGGACGGGATCGGGGCTACCGGGAATTGGCACCTGAACAAACGTCATGACAATCGCAGGTAGGAGTCCCCAGGAGTTCTTCCCTCCTCTCTCTCTACTCCCCCCTGCCCAGCCCGGCCCGCCCTCAGGCCGGCGGGGGGGGGAGGAGGAGGAGGAGGAGGAGGAGGAGGAGGAGGAGGAGGAGGAGGAGGAGGAGGCCACTCCCGTCTCTCTCCTCTCCCGCCGCGCTCCCCTGTCCGCCTCCCTTGCCTGCATTCTTCCCCCCCCCTCCTCCTGAGACCCCTTCGGCTCCTGAAGAAATGACAGCGTGAGGATCTGCACGACCGACATGGGTACGGAAAGAATGGGTACAATGCCCAACAGCCGTTCCTGTTCATTTTGAACAGGACTCGCTGTCCGCGCCGCCGCGGCCTGTGTCCATTCGAGACAGAAGGCCGCCTGCCCAACAGCGGCCGCTGTTGGTTTGGGACAACATTTGTTGTTGGGCGTTGTACCCATTTTTTCGGTACCCATTTCGGGCGTCCAAAGAGGAGTTCTGCTGCTTCGGCCTCCAGGGGCCCTCACCGGGCCCTCGGGACCGTGAAAACACGACTCGGGATGAGAAGCCCGCCCCAGGGACTGTGTCGAGACCTCTGCGGGCCAGCGTCAGCAACAAGATCATGACGTCGGGAGTCTGGGGTCTAGGTCCCTGGAGCCTCCAGAAATCTAGGCCTCCTAGATGGGGTCGGAGTAGATGGGGTCGGAGGATCGCCCCGCATCGCCGATGCATTGCCGATGCGGCTGGATGTGGAGCCCGATTTGCTTCACGCCGATGTCGCCGATGCTTCGCCCGCGTCGACGATGCATCGCCGGTGCATCGCCGATGCATCGCCGATGAATCGCCGATGTAGCGGCGATGCGGCGCGATCCTCCGACCCCATCTACTCCGACCCCATCTAGGTGGCCACTAAGAAAGCCTCTCGGGAACCTCCCGGCGCGTCCCGTCTCCATGCAGTACCCTTACCAGAAGGACATGCCGGTCGCTGAAAGCAGGTATGTCTGGATTCCCACATTCCAATCTACTTTAGGCGCCTTCCGATTTCAATCAAGGGGCGTGTTTCCCTTTTTCCTTCATCTTCCGGGGGCGGGTGGAAACCCAATCTACTTCCAACGCCTTCCTACTTCATGGTTCGACCCACTTCTTCTCACCGGCGAGTAATCGCTTCGACTCAGGCTGCCTCGAGCGTGAAGGAGATGACGCTCGACGATGCCGCTCTGATGGATGGGCATGCTTCTGCCGGCGAGGGGCCACCAGTGGCCGAGGAGGCGGACCTGGAGAGGGGCGAGGCCCTCCTCCTCGTCTTCGCCGTCGTCGTCGCTGTTCTCGTCGTCGTCTCCGGGAGGGCTTCTCGGACGCCTCTGGAGCGGCTCGGGACACAGTGCACCGCAGGAGGGGCTCTCTGTGGAACAGTTCTGCGCGGTTCCACTTCGGGGGCAGAGGAAGAGCAGGAGGAGGAAGAGGAGAGGAGGAGAGGAGGAGGAGGAGGAGGAGGAGGAGGAGGAGGAGGAGGAGGAGGAGGAGGAGGAGTAGGAGGAGTAGGAGGAGTAGGAGGAGTAGGAGGAGGAGGAGGAGGAGGATGGGGAGGAGGAGGAGGAGGAGGAGGAGGAGGAGGAGGAGGAGGAGGAAGAGTAGGAGGAGGAAGAGGAGGAGCCCGGCCTCGGGGGGCGTGGCTCCACGACCTCTTGCGTGCGGCGGCGCGCCGCTGGCTGGCACACCGGCAGCCTCGCGGGTGCGCGCGCACGCTCTCTTTCAGGAGGGAAACAACACACAGACACAATTGATCGTCGATTCCCAGGAACATGCATGTAGGAAATATGGGAAGTGGGGGGGAAGACAAAAGCCCCGAAGATATGGGAACATGCGGGGAATATATTTTTATGTGTGCGTGTTAATTTAATTGTGTGTCCCAGGGCCCCTTCACTCTTTTGGGGGGCCCTCCGCGCGCCCGGGGGGAAGGCCTGCAGACTTTCTTGCCGCCAGCGTCTTTTGCGCAAGTGTCGGGGCGCTTATTCTATCGTCGCCCAGGGGTGGGGGGTTCCTGCGGGCCCGAGGGCCGCCAGAGAACAGAATCGGGAACGAGAAAGAGGCCACGGGGAGGAGGCTGAGACTCGTATGGGGAGGAGGAGGAGGAGGAGGAGGAGGAGGAGGAGGAGGAGGTTGAGACTCGTATGGGGCCGGGCATTCCTCGGAGACGTGTATTCAGTCGGGCCTGTCCCCCTACTTACGGGGGGATTTCCGACGAAAGATATTAAAACAATACCCCCACAAATAATCAAAAAACAGTCCGAACATAGTCGGGGGACTATGTTTGGAGTAGTGTTTGACCTTCTTGGGGCATTTTTATGGTATTTCTTATATATATATATATTTCGTCGGCCATCCCCCTGTAGGGGGACACGCCCGACATGAGACTTGTGTGGGGCCGGGCGTTCCTCGGAAGCCTCAGGGCAGAGGAGGTCTGGGATGGAACAGCGCCCGCCCCTGCGGAGGGATGCTGGCGACGTGAGCGAGCCTCGACGGGCACGTGTCGCCCCTCTCTCGGGCGCGAGCCCCCGGGAGGCCGATCCGCAGCAAGATGTAGGTCGAGGGCCCTGGTGGTATGTCTTGCGATGCTCGTCCTGCTGGCAGCGCGGGGACTCGGGCTGCACGTCCCTGGAAAGTAGATGCACGCGACCCTGGCTATGCAGGGCGAGAGCTGAAGTCGCATGTGGCCGCACGCGCCTTCAGCGAGGGGTTCTCTGCACATCTAGCGCGGGGCCTCGCATGAGAATGAAGCCGAGTGTAGGCTTCCTGGTGGCCGCACTCCAGGAAGGCAGTCAGCTTTGTTCCTGCGCCCACACGTCGCCCAGATCTCCCCCGTCCGGCAGCGCTTGCCCCCTGAGCGACAGACGCCAGGCCCGAGCCGAAGGCCACCAACGCACTTCGGCTCGACAGTGCACCCGACGCGGCGTGGAGGAGGAGGAGGAGGAGGAGGAGGAGGAGGAGGAGGAGGAGGAGGAGGAGGAGGGACGAGGAGGAGGAGGAGGAGGAGGAGGAGGAGGAGGGGGAGGGGGAGGAGGAGGAGGAGGAGGAGGAGGAGGAGGAGGAGGGGAGAGGAGGAGGAGAGGAGGAGGAGGGAGGAGGAGGAGGAGGAGGAGGAGGAGGAGGAGGAGGAGGAGGAGGAGGAGGAGGAGGAGGAGGAGGAGGAGGAGGAGGAGGAGGAGGAGGAGGAGGAGGAGGAGGAGGAGGAGGAGAGGAGGAGGAGGAGGAGGAGGAGGAGGAGGAGGAGGAGGAGGAGGAGGAGGAGGAGGAGGAGGAGGAGGAGGAGGAGGAGGAGGAGGAGGAGGAGGAGGAGGAGGAGGAGGAGGAGGAGGCGGAGGAGGAGGAGGAGGAGGAGGAGGAGGAGGAGGAGGAAGAGGAGGAGGAGGAGGAGGAGGAGGAGAAGGAGGAGCAGGAGGAGGAGGCGGAGGAGGAGGAGGAGGAGTTGGAGGAGTATTGGATATCGCAGCATCCCCATCTCTCGACCTCCATCTTCTGGCCCTTCCGAGGGAGGTGCGCAGGATGGCATCTCCCCTCTCCTTTGCCCGTCGCTTTCTTTCATCCCCGTCGACGGCTACGATGACGACGGCAACGACGACAATGACGACGACGACGACGACGACGACGACGACGACGACGACGACGACGACGACGACGACGACCGACCACGGCGACGACGACGACGACGACAAGGAGCTCGCTGGACTCGACGTCGACCAACTCCCCCCCGTCGACTGACTCCCCACCAGCCGGGCCCCGGAGAGGTCACGGACGATTCTGCGAAGGATGACTCAGAAGATGACGCGGTGCTCCGCGCCCACAGCCGAGCAGATGTGAGCGTGAGGAGCTCCGCGGCCGCGGCGGGGCGCCCGGGCGTTCGTTTCCCGCCCCGCCACCTCGTCTGCGCTTCTCTTGCGCGCTCGGAGGTTGATAGACTTCCTACCCTGACGCGTCGATTAGCGAATTGGCCTGTTTCAGTTCGCGAGAGGGCCTCGCGGCCGTCATTTTTGCGGGTCCAGGTCCGTCGGTTTCGGTCATAAGCCGTCGTCACTAAAGTGTGGTTTACTGAAGAGAGATTTGTCCACCGCTGGCACGCTCACTCTCAATTTGTCGATACGGGTTTGAGGCCCCTTCTTTCGGCGGCGAGCCCAGGGGGGAAGTCAGAGAGAGTCGGCCGTCTCAGAAGGCTCGGAAGGCCTCTGGCCTTCTGGGAAGTGTCCTGGGCCTTCTCCGAAAATGCAGCGACGGCTTCTCGGGAGGCCAGAGGGATCCTGAGAAGCCCCGCAGCCTCCCGAGAAGGCCTGCCCCCTCTCCGCACTGTCCCCCCCCGGCCCGCTGCCAGTTTTAGGCATGGGCTGGGGGGACCCTTCTTGCCCCTTCTGAGACCATGTCCTGAGAACCTTTCTGGCACGTCGGGCCTACGTTCTAAGAACCCTGATTTTGTTCTTAGAGCGTTTTTGGGGTTCTACGAACGTTTCGTGGTAGGACTGCCGGGACGGTCGGCCCCTGCTCAACCCATGGAGTAGATCCTGGCTGTTTTTGGCGCCTGTGTCAGGCTCTTGGAGCCCCCCCCCATGGGACGCACGCTTCCAAGGAGTCGCACTGGGCGGAGGTCCATGGCCAGGCCCCCCCCCCCTCCCCTCCCCCTCGCCTTCCGCAAGATGTCGAAGCGCAGAAGCAGAAAACGCTCGCCAGCAGCGTTCGGCTCCCGAGGATCGGGGGAACGCAAGACCCGAGCAAGCCGGAACTCGGGTCTGCCGACGTTTTTTTGGACGAGCGCGCCCTGGAGTTTGACGGTCCAGTCTTCGTGGGATGTCTGCAGCGGGAGCCCGCGTCAAATTTCAGATTGGGCCTCGTCATTTTTATGATGGCCCCGTCGGGCCAACCCGAGTCACCCGTACCCGAGTCTTACGTCTCCCCGAGAGGAGCAGGAAGCCCTCCGAGAGCGGGAGCGCGCTGAGCCGCCAGTGGAGCACGCACAGCCCGACGGAGGGCGCGCCACGCTGCCGGACCTCGAGCGCGGAGATCGAGGCTAAGGCGAGCAGGAGCGGCGGGGCGAGGAGGAGGAGGAGGAGGAGGAGGAGGAGGAGGAGGAGGAGGAGGAGGAGGAGGGGGACGAGGAGGAGGGGAGTGGGAGGGGAGGAGGAGGAGGAGGAGGAGGAGGAGGAGGAGGAGGAGGAGGAGGAGGAGGGGGAGGAGGGGAGTAGGAGGGAGTAGGAGGGGAGGAGGGAGGAGGAGGAGGAGGAGGAGGAGGAAGAGGAGGACGAGGACGAGGAGGAGCAGGGCGGGGGCGGGACGAGTCCGGGCGGGCCGCTCGCACGACAAGCAAGCGGCACTGTCATAAGCCTCCGAGCTGGCCTATCACAGGTCGGCCGAGGTGGCCTCCAGGAATCGCCCGCCGACCTGTGGGTTCGCACTGCGCGGTTGTAGCCGCTTCGAGTCGAGCTTGGAGGTCGGGATCCCGCTCTCCTCCTCCCCCACCGACCAAAAGAGGGGGAGGAGGGGGAGGGGGAGGGGGAGGAGGAGGACGAGAAGGAGGAGGAGGAGGAGGAGGAGGAGGAGGAGGAGGGACGAGAGGAGGGAGGAGGAGGAGGAGGAGGAGGAGGAGGAGGAGGAGGAGGAGGAGGAGGAGGAGGAGGAGGACAGGAGGAGGGGGAGGAGGGGAGTAGAGAGTAGGAGGGGGAGGAGGAGGAAGAGGAGGGGGGAGGAGGGGGAGTAGGGAGTAGGAGGGGGAGGAGGAGGAAGAGGAGGACGGGGAGGAGGAGGAGGAGCAGGGGGGGGGGCGGGACGAGTCCGGGCGGGCCGCTCGCACGACAAGCAAGCGGCACTGTCACAAGCCTTCGAGCTGGCCCATCACAGGCCGGCCGAGGTGGCCTCCAGGAATCGCCCGGCGACCTGTGGCTTCGCACTGCGCGTTTGTGGCCGCTTCGAGTCGAGCTTGGACGTCGAGATCCCGCTCTCCTCCTCTCCCACCGACCAAAAGAGGGGGAGGAGGGGGAGGGGGAGGGGGAGGAGGAGGACGAGAAGGAGGAGGAGGAGGAGGAGGAGGAGGAGGAGGAGGACGAGGAGGGGGAGGAGGAGGAGGAGGAGGAGGAGGAGGAGGAGGAGGAGGAGGAGGGGAGGAGGAGGAGGACAGGAGGAGGGGGAGGAGGGGGAGTAGAGAGTAGGAGGGGGAGGAGGAGGAAGAGGAGGGGGGAGGAGGGGGAGTAGGGAGTAGGAGGGGGAGGAGGAGGAAGAGGAGGACGGGGAGGAGGAGGAGGAGCAGGGGGGGGGGCGGGACGAGTCCGGGCGGGCCGCTCGCACGACAAGCAAGCGGCACTGTCACAAGCCTTCGAGCTGGCCCATCACAGGCCGGCCGAGGTGGCCTCCAGGAATCGCCCGGCGACCTGTGGCTTCGCACTGCGCGTTTGTGGCCGCTTCGAGTCGAGCTTGGACGTCGAGATCCCGCTCTCCTCCTCTCCCAGACCAAAAGAGGGGAGGAGGGGGAGGGGGAGGAGGAGGAGGAGGACAAGCTAGGTGCGCTCGCGTCATATCTGACATCCTACCCCTCCCTCCCATCCCTTACCATGGCGTAGATCCCCTCTCTACTCGCACAGTCGGATGTCGAGCAGGGCAATGATCCCGAAAGGGTACGCGATGCATTGTAGAGCACGGCATGGCATGGCGTAGAAGAGCACCGCAATGCGTAGTATCAACCGAGCATTGCATTGCATGCCGTGGCATGACACGGGAAATGACGCCAGCGCTGCAGCGGGAGCACGAGTCGAAACGAGCGGAAGCGCGGAAATGAGGCTAGCGCTGCTGCGGGAGCACGATTCGGAACGAGCGGAAGCACGGAAATGAGGCCAGCGCTGCAGCGGGAGCACGATTCGGAACGAGCGGGGCCCGAAAATGAGGCCGACGCCTCAGCGAGAGCAGCATTTTGAAAACATGCAGGCGGAAACCCAACTCCGGGGAAACCTGTGTGTAAAAAACAGTACGCGGGGGGGGGGTCGAGCACTTTCACACCGTCATCAGGGGAAGAGGGAGAGTAGTATTCATATTGAGTAATTGTGGAGGACGGGGAGGAGGAGGAGGAGGAGGAGGAGGAGGAGGAGGAGGAGGAGGAGGAGAGGGACGAGGAGGAGGAAGAGGAGGAGGAGAGGAGGAGGAGGAGGAAGAGAGGAGGAGGAGGAGGAGGGAGGCGGAGGAGGCGGAGGAGGAGGAGGAGGAGGAGGAGGAGCAGGAGGAGCAGGAGGAGCTGGAGGAGCAGGAAGGAGGAGGAGGAGGAGGAGGAGGAGGGGGAGGACCCCACCCGCGCCCGCCTTGGCAAGGAGGAGGAGGGGGAGAGGTGTCCGGCGCCCGCCTTGGCAATCCGCGCGGGCCTCCGCTTGATTTGGTTCTGCCAGTGACGGGGGTCAGCCCCAGCGTTAAGTCAGGCAAGTCCCTCTACAGGGGGAATATTGAAGAATAGTAGGAAAGTCGTCTGGGGACGGTTTCTCGATTTCTGTTTGTGTGAGTATGATTTCATGATGTGTTATTGTTCTTCCAAGCTCCGCCCGTAGGAGGGACATGCCCGACCGAACCCCAGCGGAAGTCAGCCAGTTCCCTCTGATCTCTTCTGGCCAGCCAGCGTTTGGGAGCCACGGAGCCGCCGCCACCCCCACCCTTAAGTCGGACATCTTCCCTGACAGGAGGAATATTCAAACATAGTTTTAAAAATAGTATGGGGACGATTTTTCTATTATTCATCGATTATGTTTGATTATATGTTGACTCTTCTTACCCAAAACCCGCCTGCAGGAGGGCATGCCCGACCTAAGCCCACCCCCCTCCCCGCACCCAGACATCCGACGTCTCGGTTGTTCGAGACGCTGGCCCCCGACCTCCCGACCACTTCCCTGGGACTGTTTTTTCATCCCGAGTCGTTTTTTGACGGTCCCGAGGCCCAGCGAGGGCCCCGAGACGCCCAGAAATTATGAAACAGTTCCGCCTCGATGTTTCCGATACGTCCGATGATGTCTGGGCTCCCGGCGGGCGCGGGCTTGGGGTCTGCCTCGGGGGCCAGCCTGGGCTCGCGCCGCGGCCGTGCACGCGGCTGACCCCGGGGCTTGGTCTTCGGCCCAGACTGGCCCGTCCCCGAGGGCCCGGGCGGACCAGGGTCCAGGAGCGGAGCCCACGGTGTGAGGGGGAGGAGGAGGAGGAGGAGGAGGAGGAGGAGGAGGAGGAGGAGGAGGAGGAGGAGGAGGAGGAGGAGGAGGAGGAGGAGGAGGAGGAGGAGGAGGAGGTGGGGAGGAGGAGGAGGGGGAGGAGGGGGAGGAGGAGGGGGAGGAGGAAGAGGAGGAGGAGGAGGAGGAGGAGGAGGGGGAGGAGGAGGAGGAGGAGGAGGAGGAGGAGGAGGAGGAGGATGTGGAGGAGGACGAGGAGGAGGAGGAGGAGGGGGAGGGGGAGGAGGAGGGGGGTGCGGAGGAGAAGGAGGAGGAGGAGGAGGAGGAGGTCAAGGTGTTCGGACGCTTGCGTTTCTGGGGATGAGCCTTTTGGAGTGCCCTCGCGGCCAAGGCCGAACGCATCTCGAAAAATCTTCCTGAACGGATCTCGGGCCTTTCCCTCAACAGGAGGAATATTCAAAAATAGTCGAAGTACAGTGTGGGTACGATTTTTTGACTATGTCCGGCTATTGCTGAACATATATATATATATATATATAGATATACACACATATATATATAGATCTATACATACATTTATGACATTTCTATATTTTTCGCCCGAACGCCGCCTGTAGGGGGACAAGCCCGACTTCCCTCTGGGAGTGCCCTCGCGGCCAAGGCTGAACGCATCTCGAAAAATCTGCCTGAACGGATCTCGGGCTGGGTCCTTGAAGGTCTGGCTCGGCGGACCGTGAGCTGGCCTGCAACTTCTGAGTCTGAGAAGCCAGTCTTGGGGACTCCAAGACGAGGCCAGTCCCTTCTCAGAGCCCCTCTGCCCTGATGAGGGCTGATCCCGCCCCTCGATGACGATGACGATGACGTCATCGTCATCGCCATCGTCATCGTCATTGTTATCATTCTCGTTATTATCGCCATCGTCATCACCATCGTCATCTTCATAGCCATCGTCATCGTCGCTCCGCTTCCGACCGAAATCCTCCCAGGACCAGTCCCCGGGCCCCTCCCGGGGTCTGTCTTGGCCAACTGACCAGTCCCCGGATCTCCGGGAGGCCCAAGAGACGCTCAAAGAAGTCTCCAGCCAGGCCAGAAGGTGCGAATAATATTACACACCTCACCGCACATGTTAGCAAACATGGACCCCAAACAGCGGTGCAATCCATGTGGTGCAAGCAATGTGGTGCAATCTGGGTGGTGCAATCCATGTGGGACAATCTGTTGTGCAAAGAAATGCGATGCAATGCAATGCAAATCAACGCAATGCAATGCAATACGAAGCTAAGCAATGCAATGCGAAACAATGCAAAACAATGCAAAGCAATGCGCAGCAATGCGCAGCAATGCAATTCGATGCAAGGCAATGCAAAGCGATGCAAACCTACACAAAGCAATGCAATGACATGCAACACAATTCCATGGAAAGCAATTCAGCACAATGCAAAGCAATGCAGTGCGGTGCAAAGCAATCCAATGCAAATCAATTGAACGCGATGCACAACAAGTCAAGCCGATGTTAAGCAATGCGGAGCAATGTAAAGCAATACGGAGCAACAAACCAATGGAATGCGATGCAAAGCAAGACAAATCAATACGCATCAATCTAATGTGATGTCAGGTAGTGCAGCAGCGCACAGCTTAGCAAAGCAATGCAACGCAACGCACAGCAATTCACAGCAACGCACCCGAATTGACCGCAATGCACGGCAATGCAACGCAATGCAAAGCAATGCAGAGCAAGGCAAAGGAATGTAAGGCGTTGCAAAGCAATGCAACGCGATTGCAGAGCAAGGCCACGCAATGCAAAGCAATGCAACGCAATGCGGTTGCAACGCAATGCAGTGCACAGCAATGCACAGCAGTGGGCGGCGACGGGCGGCGACGGGCGGCACTGGGGCACC